CACGATGGGGCGCTCTTCTCTTCCCGTCTTTGGATCGAAGTGCCCTCACACCTCGAAGATGGATTTTCCTGCTATCATCTAAATAAATAGAGCTGTAACACTGAGCTGTAACAGTGATTTATTTAAGAGCTATAACACGGTCTGTCCTCCGAGAGCTGTGACCCGACGAGGGGCTTTAATGTCCGTCACTCCAAATCTTTGTTGTGACGAGACAAAGAACCAAGGAGCATACACTCGAGTGACACTTGTATCGTTCAGTCACTAAGTCTTTCGACTCTTTGCAACCCCATGAACTGTAACATACCAGGCTTCCCTGTCCTTCACCACCTCCCAGAATTTGATCAAACTCAGGTCCACGGAGTCAGTGATGCACCCTAGTATGGTGCCATGCTGATCTCTGTGTCATTCCATTTTCATGTTCTGCCCAAGCCAGCACTGGTTGACTAATTCCCTCACTGCTTCCTAAGGCCCTTAATAGCTCTCCATCCTCTATATAACAAAGGGCATGATCTTTTTAAAAAAATTTTTTGGCTGCACTCCAGGGCATGCGGGATCATAGTTGCCAAACAGGGACCCAACCTGCACCCTCTGCTGTGGAAGGCAGGAGTCTTAACGACAGGATCTTTTTTACAGAGCACAGAATTTTCCCCAGGGTCTGACCTTTGCTTACCTAACAATGCCCAGTTGTTCTACCTTTCCTAGACTGTGAACAAGTTCTCTCACCTCCTCTGAGTCTGCTATCCTTTTGTAAAAACAGCAGTTCCAATCTCTCAAAAAGTTCTTAAAAAAAAAAGTTAACCTGAGGTTTAAAATAAATACACTTAAACAACACACCATCAAGGGTTTACTGTACCCATGACTCCTTAATACTGATACTGATTATCTGTATCTATCTGATAATGATACTTTATCTGTATCTATCCAGTGTCCCTTTTCAATTCAGTAATATTTACCAAATACTTACCATATGCTAGGCACTTTGCAGGACACAAGACAGAGAGAATACAGGAAAACAGAATAAATCTTTGCTTTCCCCAAGCTTATTACAATATAGTCTCTCAACCAGTACCTTTCAGTTCAGTTCAGTCGCTCAGTCATGTCCGACTCTTTGCGACCCCATGAATTGCAGCACGCCAGGCCTCCCTGTCCATCACCAACTCCGGGAGTTTACTCAAACTCATGTCCTTCGAGTTGGTGATGCCATCCAGCCATCTCATCCTCTGTCGTCCCCTTCTCCTCCTGCCCCCAATCCCTCCCAGCATCTCCATGAAGTGATGGGACCAGATGCCATGATCTTAGTTTTCTGAACATTGAGCTTTAAGCCAACTTTTTCACTCTCCTCTTTCACTTTCATCAAGTACCTTTAAGGACTAGATAATCTCTAACATAAGAGCAAATGAGGTAAACTGGCAGGGGGTGGGGTAAATTCCCGGAAGTTGAGAACAGTATGCGCCTCAGGGCGCCGCCACATCCTGGCACCTCTGCTTTCTCCAGCCGCAGTGGCACTTCCCAAGCCAAGCCAAGGGCCCAACACCTAAGCCCTGGCTGGGCCTCACTCACAGCACCCGGGCCACCACCCACGTGGCAGGCAAGGGGCGGGGACGCGTGGCCCAGCGGCGGAGGTGGGGCGGGGCCTGGGCTTCTGCGCCTGCGCGCTGAGGCCAGCTCGAGGACCCGGATTTAAAGAGACAGGTACTACAACCGTCGTGGCTGCGCGCGGCCTGTGGGCGCCTGGTCCGAGGCCTGAGGTGGCGCCGGAGCCGGGAAGGCAGGTGAGGGTGCGGCGCGGTGGGGCCTGCTTGCGGGAAAGGGGGGCGGCCGGAGTGCGGGGCTCGGCGCGGCCCGGGAGCCAGCCTCCGGTCTCCTCCCCCGCCCGCCGACTCGGAGAGCCCCGGGGCACACCCTCTGTGACGTGGCGGCCCCCCGGGAGTCCGCGGGGGTTGGCTCCCGGGACCCCCACGGCCCCATGCCGGGGAGGCAGGGCACCCCCGCGGGGCTCCTCTGGCCGGGTCCGCCCAGCCGCCGCCCGAGTCGGGGCGCTGCGGACGGAGCTCGGGAGCCTCTATCTTCCCGCCGCGTCCCCTTCAGCCTAGCCCGGGGCTGTGCTCTGGCCGCCCCTCCGGCTCGCGTCGAGGGCCTCGCTGCGTCTCGCCCTCCCCCCAAAAGGGGAGGCCCCTCCGGGAGCAGCGGCCGCGGGACTCTCACTTCCCGGCCCGGCTGCGTTCAGGCCTCAGCGGTTTCCCTTCTCGGGTCCCTCTGAGGAAATGCTGAGTGGCGGCCTTGGGGGGGCCTGTGAGCCAGGCGGGGTTCCCCAAACGGCTCCGTGCCTCCTGGTGGCCCAGCGCCTCCCGGACGCTGCGGAGGGGAGGGCGCGGCTAGGTGCCCTCCCCCCCGGCTCCTGGAGTCCTGGGGGCGGCTTTTCATAAATTCGCTTTCCAGGAAGGTGGTGAACCCTAATTTTTTTTTTTTTCTTGAGCGCCTCTTACGGGCCTGCTTACTTTCACATACTCTGTGGTTCAGTTTCTAGGGGTTTACAGAGCCTTTTGTGAAGTTTCATGAAAACGTTGACCGTTTCTCCCCCAAAACGGAAAAGGCCGAATGCGCACCTTTTGTGTACATTTGCAAGGGAATTCAGAGCCCTACCCCGCCCACCCCCCCCACTCCCATTCACCCATCCACGGACCCATTGTCATTTTCTCCCTTCTTTTGAGGTAGATATTTTGCCTGTTTTAGGAATAAGGAAGCGGACTCGGGAAGTTAAGGGAAATTCTCAAAAGATAGCATAGTACCAGAACTGCACGGTCACACTTGTGCTCGCGTTTCTGATTCCCAGTTACCTCCTGTTCTCTGCATCACGTTTCACTTCAGCAAGTAAAGCTTGCTTTTCATTATCACCCACAAGCAATTTGACGACAAAGCCGGGTGCAGGCTGAAAATAACTTCCAGTCTGTTGAAAGTTGGAACTGGGAGGATACTTTAGAAAATAAGGTTAAAAGAAAGTGGGGGATACTGTGTGAATATGGTCTTTGTTTCCATGTGGATTGATTGAGCATTTCCTTTGATTCTTGCTATCCAGTTACTTCAGCATTTCCAGATTGAATTTGCTGAGTTGTAACCCGGCTTATTGCACACAGGGAGCCTTTGCTTAAAGGATAATCGCTTCATTGACTATGTAAGGGCTTTATTCTTAGAATGACAACTCTGAGTTAGGTACTATTATTATCCACATTTTACAGTTGAGGAAATTGAGGAACTGAGAGATTAAGGAAATTACCAAGGTCTTATGGCCAGTGAGCTAGGATTTGAAACTAGGGGGTTAGGTTTTAGGCTCCATTTAATTGCTTCTCAAAATAGGGCTTCTGATTAAATCCCAAATCTATATAGTGGCTTAATTATTTTCTGAGGATAACAAATATTTTATATTTCACATTAAAGACTTCCTGAAAATAATGTTTTTTTTTTTTTAAGTTGCACCACTTGGCTTTCAAGATCTCAGGTCCTCCTCCAGGGTTTGAACCCTGGCCATGGCAGTGAAAGCACTGAATCCTAACCACTAGGCTACCAGGGACCGCCCAATGTAATTTTTCTTGATGATTAAAAAGAAACTTTAGAATCTTATTATGCTAAAGGGTCACCATCCATTTTAAGGCTTAGGGTTTGCTGGTGGCCTGAGAAAGGGTTTTATGTTACTTGAATTCTCTTGATTGTGATTTACTAGATATACTTTAGATAATATTTAAGTGTTCAATTAGGTAATTGAATGTCCTGTTGTAGACTGAATTTTCCTATACAGGAATTCTTCATCCTGTAGGCAATAAATCTTTCATACCTGGCCTTCCCCGGTGGTCCTGTGGTTAAGACTCCGGGCTTCTACTGCAGGAGGCGCAAGTACAATTTCTGGTCAGGAATCGGACAGCAGCCAAAAAAAAATCCTTCATACTTTGGGAAATGTTTGGTTGGTCAGCATGGATTATTGTGTTAGGATGTCAGCCTTTGAGGAAATTAGAGGTCTAGCTCCTCTGTAACTCACTTTTCTGCCTCTCCCCCTTCCATGCAGCTGTATGACTTTGGCTTTTAAGATCCTTTTCCCACCAACCCTCCGTGCACTCAGAAAAAAAGAATTGTTCCTATTCCGAGAACATCACCGGCCTGACATAAGACACTTTGGCCAGTGGTCAGAGACAGTTCTTTGTGGACAGCACCTCCTCCAGAGAAGAAAGCCTGTTCCGTCCTTCCAGAAAAGCAACCTAAGACCACGTGCCACCTGCCTTGTTTTCTTGCCAGGATCGCATGTGGGACGCTGCAGTGGCCCCTGTGAGATGGCAGAGCAACGCTTCTGTGTGGACTACGCTAAGCGTGGCACCGCTGGCTGCAAAAAATGCAAGGAAAAGATTGTCAAGGGCGTATGCCGAATCGGCAAAGTGGTGCCCAATCCCTTTTCAGAGTCGGGGGGCGATATGAAAGAGTGGTACCACATTAAATGCATGTTTGAGAAACTGGAGCGGGCCCGGGCCACCACAAAAAAAATTGAGGACCTCACCGAGCTGGAAGGCTGGGAAGAGCTGGAAGAGAACGAGAAAGAGCAGATAAGTCAGCACATTGCAGGTGGGGTGGAGAATACTGCTTTCTCATCTTCCTGGCTCTGAGAGGCAACGAGATGAGAGTAGAGCCCAATTTCTTTCTTCCTATCTGTATTTTTAAAGTTTATTGTTCAGAAATAACTTCAAACTCACAGGAATGTTGCAAGAGTAAAAATAGCACATGGTACAAAGAATGCTTATGTTCATCTTTTTTTTTTTTGCTGTGCTGTGAGGCTTGTGGGATTTTAGTTCCACGACCAGGAATTGAACCCAGGTCCTCAGCAGTGAGAGTGCAGAGTCCTAACCCCTGGACCTCCAGGGAATTCCCTCAGATTTACCTGTTGTTAACATTTTGCTCTCTTTGCTTTATCATTTGTGTTCATGTTTGTGCTTACTCTTTTGCTCTCTTTGTTACTCTCTCCTTCCACACAGGTGACTTTTTCCCCCCAGAACTATTTGGGCATGCATCATGGTCCTTTGCCTTTAAATACTTCAGTGTGTATATCTTAAAAATAGGATGTCGTGACTGTAATGCAGCTATCAACCAGTAAATTTATCTTTGATATAATATTTTAATCTACTGTCTGTATTCTAGTTTTGTCAATTGCTCAGATAATTTATAACTTTTCTCTCCCTTCGGTATGGAGTCCTGATACAAGATCAGGTATTGCACTTAGTTGTCGAGTCTGGCATCCTTTAATCTGGAACATCTCTGAGGTTTTTTTTTTTTGTTTTTATGACATTGACATTTTTGAAGAAAAGAGTACCTACACTATACTACTCCCTTTTCTCTCTCAACTTATTCTCTGTGTGGACTCAGATTACCACTTTTTCCTTGTGGCTTATCATTATCCTGTACTTCTTTATTAATTTGGTACTAAATTGTCCCATATTTGGTCAGTTGGGAATCCCTTTGAGCTAGTTTTTGTCCTTGATGTCCAAATCACTTTTTAAAAATTGTTTTAAAGTACTTCCTTGCCTTCTGGCCTAACAGTACGCTCGCTCTTAGGATTACCTATCTCAGCCGTGAAATCAACCATTTCTCTGAAGTGTCTTTGTTCCTGTTAGTGCGGGAAATGGCATTAGAGACAAAAATGTTGATACTGTGTCCTGAGTGCCATGAGATATCCTTGCTTTTGGGCCCTTTCAGCAGACAGAACTGGAAAATACATGTTTGTATATACACAAAAACATATGTGCACATACATGTGTATTCAAATGTATGCTATTTTAGAAATCTGACACTGATAAATCCAGTTAGTCCTTTCTGACCTTCAGTGTCTTTGTAATATTCTTGTCTTCAGTTCAGTTTAATTCTAGTTAGTATAGGGGGACTAAAATGGACATCTGTCCTTTTTCTTTGAGAGGAAAGTTACTTCAGGGAGAAAACTAATGCATTTTTTTTTTCCAGCTCCCCTCCTGCTCTGCCTAGCCTTAGCCATTGGCTTCAGCCTTTGTTACTTCTGGACCCAGCTCATTCAGAGGAAGAAAAATGCAAGGGAGAGTTAAACTGTCACACGGCTCAAATAACTCAGCAGCTACAAGTTTTCCTGCACATACCAGATCAACATGCTCTGTTTATCCAGCTTCATTTTACTTTCTTTTTTATCTTTAAATTGGGAATAATTCCATAAGCTGAGGTCCTCACATTTTATCTGTTGACACATGATTTCTGACTTCCTCTGAATAATCTGAAGGTTATATGTGAGATAAGGGGTGGAGAGTATTGATGAATATTTAAGTTACTAATAAAAGTAAAGAATAACTGGGTCTTTTGTCCCTAGAACACCCTCTCCCCAATACCCTAATAACCTACTGCTTCCAGTCAAGAAGACCAGCCAGCCAGCAGTCACCTTTTGGTTAATACCATGGTAGTAACTTAGCTAGCCAGGCTATAAGAGCAACTGATAGAGTCTTTGAAAGCTTTCTCAGGGATTTTTCACTGAAAGATATTTTCCCTTCTTTTTGGGGCCCTACAGATCTGTCTTCCAAGGCAGCAGGCACACCAAAGAAGAAAGCTGTTGTCCAGGCTAAGTTGACAGCCACTGGCCAGGTGGCATCTCCAGTGAAATGTGCTTCATTTGTCACCAATTCTAATCCCCGGAAGTTTTCTGGCTTTTCAGGTAAGATAGGTTAGGGCTACATGAGCTGTTGCAGCCCTTCTTTTATTTAGGTATCCTGGGAGACCAAAATTTGGTACTCTGGTTAAGAGTGACCATTCTGTGCTATCTAGCCTCCTTAATACAGTTGACTATTAAACATCACGGGCATTAGGGGCTCTAAATCCCATGCACAGTTGAACTTCCAAATGTCATTTATAGTCTGCCTTCCTTATTCAAGTTTCCACTTTATGCATGGTTCCACCATGCCTTCAGTTCTGCATCCCTGGGTTCAATCAACTGCCAACTGTATAGTACTTATTTGCTATTGAAGAACTCTGCATGTAAGTGGACCCATGCAGTTCAAACCCATGTTGTTCAAGAGTCAACTGTAATTTGCTTTCATCTGAGCAGAGAGGTAATGGCCAGCTAATTCTCAGCGCCCCACATGTATAGCATTTCTTTGTATATTTTAATCTCTGTTGCAGCAAAAAGATGTTTGTTCTGTCAAGACTTTTTCCCCTTGAAGTAGTTTACCTGGATCAGACATTATTACAACCTGCCATTGACTTCCTTGTTTTGGGGTTTTTTTGGTTTTTGGGTTTTTTAAAAATATTTATTTATTTATTTGGCTGTGCCAGGTCTTAGTTGTGGCACACGGGATCATTTATCTTTGCTGCAGAATGCAGCATCTTTAGTTTTGGCATTTGAACTCTTAATTGTAGCCTGTGGGATCTAGTTCCCTAACCAGGGATCAAACGTCAGCGCCCTGCATTGGGAGCATGGAGTCTTAGCCACTGGACCACCAGAGAAGTCCCACTTCCTTGCTTTTTGATAATGGAAGAGTTGTGAGAAATTGCATCCCTCCACTTGCCCTAATTGGAGATGAAAGTAGAGAAGGGAGATATCCTGCATGTCCTTGTGTAGCAGACAGTGTTGGGCTGGGGGCTTTTGCATGTGTGGTTTCATTTGTTCTTCATTCAATGTTGGGTAGTATTTTTATTAGGCCCATTTTATGAATGAGAAAACCAATGCTCAATGTCATTATGGAGTTTTTAATAGTTACCCTGAAGTCTGTTTAACTTAAAAACCTGTGCTTTTTTACTCTCCAACCTGTTACCTGTTTTATTTGGAGACATTCTTATGACTGCCTCAGCTAAAGAAAATAAAATCAAAACTCAAGGGCTCAGAAGTTGTTCGAGGAGGTTGCTCTGTTTGAGTAAAAGAAGCCCGGACTTGAGGTCAGAAGACCTCGGTCCAGGTCTGAGCCTCTGGCGTCATCTGTGAAGTGGAATGGCAGCACCTACCTTGTGGACCCCATGGTATCTCACAAGGAATAAAGAAGAGAAAGTTGCAGAAACAGTGCCTGACTCTACAATTTTTAATCATTTTAAACTCTGAAGTTTGCTTGGTTTTTGCCTAGTGGTAAACCAAAGATAGAAATATAGAAGAGTTCAGGTGACAGTAAGGGCAGTGTATTTCTCGAAGAGGTTGGTTCTGGGGAGGGAATTTCAGGGAAGGCGGGTGTTCCATTTCTTCCAAGCTGCCGAACAGTGACACTTTGGAGATTTTGTCCCTTAAAGTCCTCTTTAAATGCCAGGTCAGAGATGAGGATAGATTTCTAATTTACAAACTCCAGGCATGAAGATGCTTATATCAGCAGACAGCGTGGTAACGACTGTCTGCTGCAGCTTTCAGAGTGAAATTTACTTTGTAAATGGTCACAAGAAGGTAATAGGATCACTTGAGAGTTGTTTGGAGTGTCGGGAGAAAAGTCCTCCTTGCTGCCTACCTTTTTTTAAAAATGTTTATTTATTTATTTGTTTGTGTTGGTCTTAGTTGCAGCCTGTGGGATCTAGTTCCCTGGCCAGGGATCAAACCTAGGCCCCTGCACTGGGAACGCGGAGTCTTAGCCATAGGACCACCAGGGAGTTCCAAATCTAGAGCTTTTTGTTATTGTGGTGGTTGTTGTTAGTTGCTCCATCGTGTTTTAACCCTTTGTGACCCCATGGACTGTAGCCTTCCGGGCTCCTCTGTCCACAGGTATTTCCAGACAAGAGAACCGGAGCGGGTTGCCATTTCCTTCTCCAGGGAATCCCTTCTGACCCAGGGATTGAACTCACATCTCCTGCAAGTCTCCTGCATTGCAGGCAGATTCTTTACCACTTTGCCACAGGGGAAGCCCCCTTTCGTTTTTACAGGAAGAGAGAAGAAAAAGTGGTGCTGGGGGTGGTGGGGAGGGGCAGGGGGCTAGTGGCAAGTGACTGGGAATGCTTCTGTCCTCAGGCCTCAGTCTTCTCACCAACAAGAGGTCAAGCTAGATCATCTTTAAGGCTTCTTTCAGTTCCATCAATCTGCAGTAGCAGTAGTTTCAGAGTAACTAAGGCGTCCCTTGATTTCTTTTTCCTTCCTGATTCCAACTTTTCTGGGTTCAGCTTTGCAATTGCACTGAGATCATCCTGACCACTCTTGGCTTGAAAATGGCCCTTGTTCTTCGGTGAGCAGTCATGTAAAGAAATACACGTCAGCTGGTCCTTTGCTTCAGTGTGAAGCAGTTGTTTCTTTACTCTTAATAGCTGTGAGATTTGAGGAAATCACTTGACCTCTGTTTTTTCACCCACAAAATACGTATAATGATATCTACTCCCAAAGGGCTCTTTGGGGAGATTAAGTAAAGCTACACATAGAGAACCAGCAGAGTGCCCATTAGTTTCTCTTGCTTTCTTTTCAGCAACGCAAAATGAATTATCTCTCCCTTTTTCTCTCTCCAACAGCCAAGCCCAACAACTCTGGGGAAGCCCACTCCAGCCCTACCCCCAAGGCCCCTAAGACAAGTCTGTCCTCAAGCAAATGTGACCCAAAACACAAGGATTGTCTGCTGCGTGAGTTTCGGAAGTTGTGTGCCATGGTGGCTGAAAATCCTAGCTACAACACGAAAACCCAGATCATCCAGGACTTCCTTCAGAAAGGCTCAGCAGGAGGTGGGCCTCGAGCACCCTGGATGGGCTTCTCTCGAGCTCAGAGTCAGGGCCGGCCTCATGGGCACGTGAACTCTACAGTTGCACAGGCCTCCTGCTTGGTTTGATGTTCTGCTATTTTGCTGTCTTGAAATTCATTGTGTAGCCAAATCTGTTCCAAACACATGGGCATCTTCCTTCCTTCCTTCCTCTGCCCCCTAGGAGGCCAGAAGAACCTATCCCATTTGACCAAAAGGAAAATTCACTCTCCTGTTTGATTTGGGTTCTGTGAGCCACTTGCACAGCTTGGAATAGAATCTCCCGACTGTGATCCTTTTCATTCGTCTAACAAATGACCGTTGAACATCTGTGATGTGCCCGTCCCTGGGAACACGACAGTGAGAGGCATGGCTCTGCCCCGCAGGAGTTCATCCAGGGGCTAACAGGGAGGCAGCCTCACAGACCCCCAGCTGCTGGATGCCCCGGCCTCTGCAGAAACGCACACCCTCCCCTGAGGGCCTGTGCGGCCGGGGCAGCAGTGCAGACATCTCTCTTGGTTCTTTGAGTTTATGTGCTTGTTTGTTTAAGCTCCATGTCTCAAGAAAGGTTTCTTTCTTCTGTCTCCTCCAGATGGTTTCCACGGCGACGTGTACCTAACAGTGAAGCTGCTGCTGCCGGGTGTTATTAAGAGTGTTTACAACTTGAATGATAAGCAGATTGTGAAGCTTTTCAGCCGCATTTTTAACTGCAACTCAGATGACATGACACGAGACCTAGAGCAGGTCAGAGAAAGGGGAGGATAGGTGGATTCCAAGTGGGGTTCTGCTGAGCCAGTCACCTGCACTCTCTTTTTTTCCTGGTGGAGCAGATACTGTTTCAGAAAACTGAAACCCACTCGAGCAAGCCTTCATTAGGAGAGGAGTTGAATGGGAGGCTACAGCTGTTAGTTTCACAAGGTTCTGAAGACTGGACTTAACATTACTGCTGAGCCTGAGAGAAAGACCTAGACTTTGAGAGTGGATCTTAGACTTCCCACTCTCTCTCCAGGGACTCTTGTTCTAGACCTTTATTTGGCCACACCATGTGGCATGTATTAATAGGGTCCTAGTTCCCTAAAAGGGATCGAACCTGTGACCCCTGCGCTAGAAGCTCTGTGTCTTAGCCACTAGCAGGGAATTCCCTCTGGGCCTTATTTTTTCCTTGCTTTTTTTTCCCTTAAAACTTGGGCTTGCCATTAAGTTTTGGTTTGTTCATGACTCCAGCCTTGGCACCTGGAAAGTTGCTGTCCAAACACCCCCATAATCTGATGACTGTGTCTGTCTCATAATTCAGATTCTAACAGGACTCACATTGGCTTGGCCCTGCATTAGTTCTTACATCATTTCTCAGCTCAGGCAGGTGACCAGATCCTGTGGTGGATGGCAGTGCCGTTTCCAGGAGCTGTGGGTGGAATAGATTCTCTAAGCAGTGAAATAAATATTTGTGAGTTTCGGACAGGAGCAGTGATTGAAATCTCTAATTCACCTGTAGTCATGAGGGCTTGGGGGTTACACACGGCCACTTTGGGGTTGTTGCATGGTATTTTGGTTTTTGGAGACAGGGTGACGTGTCAGAGACAATCAGAGTCTTCTTTGAGCAGAGCAAGTCTTTCCCTCCAGCTGCCAAGAGCCTCCTTACCATCCAGGAGGTGGACGAGTTCCTCATGCGGCTCTCCAAGCTCACCAAGGAGGACGAGCAGCAACAGGCCCTGCAGGACATTGCCTCCAGGTGGGGGCACTGCCCACCGGGGACGGGCCTGGGAAGGTGGACTCACCAGGGAAGGAAGGTTTGGGAGCTTTTTAAGTTGAATGTGCCTCATCCCTCTAGGTGTACAGCCAATGACCTTAAGTGCATCATCAGGTTGATAAAGCATGATCTGAAGATGAACTCAGGTGCAAAACACGTGTAAGTACCAGGTCCTCTGATGGTGGAAGCTGCCCACTTCCTGTGTTGTCAGCTGGTGTCAGGACTTGTAAACCCCAATTTGGGTTTGAATCCTGATTCTGCCTCCTTCCTTCCTGTGGGACCCATCAGTTGACCTAGCTCAGCCTCCATTTTCTCATGTTAAATGGAGATAACAGTACCCTTTTCACAGAATTGTTAGAGTCAAACATAGGGGATATGTTCAAAAAGTATGAGTTGCTTGCCTACTCCAGCCCCCTCTTTGCTATGGCAGCATCCAGGTAGCATGGTGTCTCAAAAGAGCTGAGTTTTCCAAGATCTTTTTCTCCTGTGAAAGTCTTTAGACAGTAGGACATAACCACTTCCCCATATATTGGGATCCCAGCAGTTATGTCCTGTTGTTGCTGGACATAACATGTTGCAGCATATTGCTACTATTCAGAGCGATAAGATCAAGAACAGTGGTGTTTGTTTCCTTGCTCCTGTTGGCTTCGGCAGGTTAGATGCCCTAGACCCCAATGCCTATGAAGCCTTCAAAGCCTCACGCAACCTGCAGGATGTGGTGGAGCGGGTCCTCCGCAACGAGCAGGAGGTGGAGAAGGAGCCAGGCCAGAGACGAGCTCTGCGTGTGCAGGCCTCTCTGATGACCCCGGTGCAGCCCATGCTGGTAAGGACCTTGCTCTTGCCCTGCTTCCTGATCCTGCGTGAGGCTGCTACCCTTCCCTGGGAGATCTGAGAGGGTATGATGCTGAAGGCCATGCAAGAAAGATGGCTGGAAGATTTCGGGGAGGGAAGAGTAGAGTCGCAGGGGGTGTTTTTCCTGGGGGAGATAGCGTGAGCAGTGGAAAGACCTGAGAACTCAGCCATCTCTGCCCTCAGCCAGCTGTGGAATCTTAGGTGAGGTCCTCAGTCTCTCTTGATCCTGAGTTTTCTTACGTAAATGGTGTCTGAAGTGTCCACCCTGAGCGGTTCATCTGTCATCTTTCCTGAAGTCAGGTGGATGTGTGCAGTAACTCCTGAGTCTCTGTGACATGCCCTAAAGTAGCTCTGAGAGTTGGTGACAGAGCCAGCCTTCCTGTGAGAGGGTACCTTAGGTCTCCTTTTTTTTTTCTGGAAAGGGAAGAAGCTTAAGGAATGAAGACCAGCTCTCCTTGGGCCTCTGCTTGTTCCATGATAAATGGGATTTCCTTCCTGGCGTGGGTTTTCCTGTGCGACAGGACAGGCCACGCCTGCTGCTGTGCCTGCTCCGAGAGCCTTGGATTGTCTCATTGGGGTGCACTGCTCTTTATGGAAGCCTTGTGGTGTGTGCCTGAAGTGCTGGTCTAGGGTTCCGTGTTGGGATAGCCAGCACCAAAGTAGTAAGATCTCCACTTGAGGGACAGGACCAGTCACCTCCATTAGTAGACTTTCTGATTTTTATAAGAATTTTTTTTGGAATCTGTTCCACAGTCTCATTTGAAGCATGGCATAGCTTATACTGGGCTTCCCTGGTGGCTCAGTGGTAAAGAATCCACCTTCCAATGCAGGAGATGCAGGTTTGATCCCTGGGTCGGGAAGATCCCCTGGAGAAGGAATTGGCAACCTACTCCAGTATTCTTGCCTGGGAAACACCATGGACAGAGGAGCCTGGCGTACTACAGTCCCTGCGGTCACAAAAGAGTCAGATACAACTTAGTGACTAAACAGCAACAATAGGTTACACGCTTACTGGGTAACCACCCAAGCTTTGGAGTTGGGTCTAGATTCACATCTCATTCCTGCCCTTCACTAGCTGTGTAATAGAAGTGAGCACTTAACCTCTGTGAATTTCAGTTTTCTCATTCATAAAGTGAAAACAATATATCGGAATATGACGCTGCCCAGCCTTTTCACTCCCATCTTGCCCTGAGGGTGTGCTCTGGCTAAGGGGCCCCGGGCTCCGCGCTGTCCCTGCCGAGCCACCTCTCTGGGAAGAGCACCTGTAAGTCTCCAGCTGTCCTCCCCCTTTCCCCGCCTCCAAGGCTGAGGCCTGCAAGTCCATCGAGTACGCCATGAAGAAGTGTCCAAACGGCATGTTCTCTGAGATCAAGTATGACGGGGAGCGAGTCCAGGTGCATAAGAAGGGGGACCACTTCAGCTACTTCAGCCGCAGTCTCAAGCCCGTCCTGCCACACAAGGTACAGACCCCTTCCTTTCTGCCAGGACTCTTCTGCCTGTCTCTAAGGATCTCAAAGCCTGTGTTCCAGTGCCTTTCCAGCTCTGGTGCAAAATAGAATCTGTTTTGTATTTGAATAGAAGGATGAATTGATTTATTCATTTTTGGAATCTTCCAATACTGTGGGGCTGCTCAGGAGGAACAGCCCAAGAGCGTAGCCGGGGGCCAGCCATCGTGGAGCCTCGGGGCAGTGACGCCAGGACAGCAAGTTCAGCTGGTGACAGCTTGCTGTGCTTGTCCTCCACCTTTCTAGGTCCTCTGTGCTCGCCCTGAGCTACGTCACGGCTCAGGTACAAAGAACTGTTAGGCAGTCAGTCATTAATTTGTTCAACTTCTTTTAGTTTTACTGTTCTAATGTTTTGTCTGTGCCACACAGCATGCAGGATCTTAGTTCCCCCACCAGGGAGCACCCTGCAGTGGAAGTACAGAGTCTTGGCCACTGGACTACCAGGGAAGTCCCCTGTTCAACAAATATTTATCAAGGGTTGATGCCGGGCACTGTCTAAGAGAGTGGGCATCCAGCATTTAATGAAAAATTTCAAAAAAGAACGGAAGTTCTGTGCCTCCAGAGGCTTACATTCAGACATAAACACAATCCCATGGGGGCTTCTGAGACCCCCGGCTCCTGCCCTTGATCAGGGGGCACTGAGAACCTCGCCCCTCGGCCCTTCTCAGCTCCCGGGGCCCCTGGGAGCCCTTGGGGGTTGCCCAGGGAAAAGCAGTGGGGACAGCTGGCTCCCGTAGCTGGGAGGTGGGTGGCCCTCCTGTCCCTGCTCCCCCTTCTGCCTTTGCTCAGAGTCCCGAGGGAAGGGGACGCCCACACCCTTGCCTGGCCTGGTCTGGCCATTAGCTTGGAGTGTTTCTGAGAGCTGAGCACGACCTCCTCGAGCGCATTAGTGAAGACCCGCCTCATGTTTTCTTGCTCCTCCTAAGGGAGTTCATTTCTCTCTTTCCATCCTTTTTCCTGCTGGTCTGTTCTGCACGAATCCCGCCTGCCCACCTTCCCTCCCTCTGTTCCATGTTTGTCTACCTCCCTTCTTCCCCTCATTTTCACTTTCAGACTGTTCCTTTTTCTTGCAGTTCGCCGCAGCCAATAGAAACCGACCCCAGTGTGAGCTTAACCTCTTCCAGGGTCTGGGCAGAGGTCCTGGAACATAGCTGATTGTTCTTGTCTGGCCAGCTGCCAAGACCCGAGTCTGTTTGCACACCAGCTAGGCTGGCACACACTGGTGCTCTGTGCCCCCTCAGGGCCCGGCTCTTGCTTCCTGGGTCCTGGCCCCCTCCTCTGAGCGACCCTTCTGCCTCCAGGTGGCCCACTTTAAGGACTTCATCCCCCGGGCTTTCCCTGGGGGCCACAGCATGATCTTGGACTCTGAGGTGCTCCTGATCGACAACAGGACAGGCAAACCACTGCCCTTTGGGACTCTGGGAGTGCACAAGGTACTGGCTCAGGCCCAGTGAGTGAGAGTGAGTGTGTGCATGCGTGTGTGCATGCGTGTGTGCTTTCAGTACAAATGCAGAGGAGTGTACCGCTTACGGTCAAGCTTATCTTCATCTCTGAATTGGTACTGATTTTAGCCCTAAGTTTAGATGTGTTTTGTTTCTGTGTTTTGCATAAAAAGACCTTATAGTGGCACCTGGCTTATAACTGGGTCAGTCTCCACTTAGGACGTGTCTGCCAAGCGCCCTTATGGCCCAGGGGCTCCACAGCACAAACACGCGTTATGCACCACACGCTTCAGAGGGTCTGGGAAGTGGGCTGCTTCTCCTGCATTCCATGCCCTCTTACTTTTGTCCCTCGTGTACCTACTGCCTCCTTTTCCCTTACAGAAAGCTGCCTTCCAGGATGCTAATGTCTGCCTGTTTGTGTTTGATTGTATCTACTTCAATGATATCAGCTTGATGGATAGGTGAGGAGTCTGTTTTTGATTCCTGGGTAGGGAGGTGGGGGCTTCAGATTTGAAAGGAGAGAGGGCAAGGGGCTGGTGCTGCAGCTCTGGGCCCAGGAGTTGCAGCGGGAACAATTACTGCACAGCCGGCTCCCCATTCAGTGTTAGGAAGAGCCAGTGTGTTGACTAGATCTCGACTCTGAAAGCTTAAGTCACAGAGGAAACCCTGCCATCCACAGCAAAATGGACTGTTTACGAGATACCGACTACGAGCAATGTAGGGTTTCAGTTTATCTCTTCAAAAACACCTCCAGGTATGTAAGGCAGATGAATTTCAGTTCAGAGGCTTTAGTCTTGGGAGAGGCTGACAACCAGAAGCTTTCCATTGTCAGGCTCTGTGGTTGCGACCACCTTCGGGATAACTCACAGTCTTGACCTCTTGAGTTCCAGAAACCATTTTGGCCCCCTCCTCCTTTAGAGAGGCATCCCTACCCCCACCCCCACCCCAGCCCCCAGCCCTGAGTGTGGAAGGGGAGGGAGATGGAAGGAGACAGAACTGCCAGCGGAGGAACTGGGGCTTGGGCTTGAGGTCCTGAGGCCTGTCAGCCTGCTAACCCACCACAGCTCGCTTGGGGCCTGGAGTGAGAAAGAGTACAGCCAAGGAGAGTCAGGGTTATTCTTCAAAGGGGACCACGGTTTATACAGTCAGTCTGGGCTGGTGAGGTAGGGATAGGACCTATAGCAATGAAGTAACTGCGCCGCAGCTCATAGCCATCCATCCTTGGTCCCGACGGAGCCCTGGTCACCCTGGATGGGCAGAACTGGGGCACGAGGGCCCGGAGCCATGGCATACGTCTCAGGAAACCAGTCCATCCTTGTCCCTGTCTCTCCTCAGAACTCTGGGGGGTGCGGGGAGCATCCAGGCCTGACCTCAGCTCTCCTGTCCCCCTCAGGCCTCTGTGTGAGCGGCGGAAGCTTCTTCATGACAACATGGTTGAAATCCCCAACCGGATCATGTTCTCAGAAATGAAGCAAGTCACAGTAAGTGAGGATCCCACCTTCGGCAGAGCAGAGTGCCCCATGGGTCAGACGTGGTTGGGAGAATGGGTGTTAGTTATTTTTTTAAGAGGGAGGCTGATGTGGATACGAGCAGACCTTGGAGATATTGTGGGTTTGGTTCTAGACCACCACAGTAAAGCAGTATCACAGAAAATAAGTCAGGTAACTTATGAATTCCCAATACACAGTAAAGTTACATTAACACTCTAGTCTGTTAGGTGTGCAATAGCATTATGTCTAAAAAAACAATGTACATACCTTAACTGAAAATACTACTAAAAAATGGTTACCATGATCTGACAACATTTTGTCAAAAGAAAGAAAACACAGTATCTGCAAAATGTGGTATAGCAAAGCACAGTAAGACAGGCTCTGCCGGTGTTCGTGTGCGAGTCCCACCTGGGAGGGCAGGGCGTGAGAGGTCCTTGCCAGGTGGACGCCCAGTCACAGCTGAACTGGCTCTCTGGCCGGTCCCTGCTCTGCCATCCCTTTTGTTCCTTGTGTTCAAGTCAGCGTGTTTGCAGCAGGCGCTTTGCTAGTGTGTGGAAGGGAACCACCTCCACCTCGCTGCCAAAGCCCTTCTCTGTTCTCCCGCAGAAAGCTTCCGACTTGGTGGACATGATCAACAGGGTGATCCAGGAGGGGCTGGAAGGGCTGGTGCTGAAGGACGTGAAGGTAAGGTGGTTATGTCCTTTGCTCTCTTCGGCCCTGGCCAGGACGTGGCTGTGGCAGTTAGAGGTGCTCGGGGGGGTGTCATCGCAGGATTCTGGTCTAAAGGCTGGGTTGGTGCTCGTCTCCGGGAGGGCACTCGACAGATGCTGCTGTCGTGTGAGCAGGTGAAAAGCCCCCGTCGCAGCGCCTCCATGCCCGTTTGTGGTCTCTCTTGCCTCCCCTCAGGGAACTTACGAGCCTGGAAAGCGCCACTGGCTGAAAGTGAAGAAGGACTATTTGAACGAGGGCGCCATGGCCGACACAGCTGACCTGGTGGTTCTTGGGGCCTTCTACGGGCAAGGGAGCAAAGGTCAGGGCGGCCTCTGGCCCCTGGGGTGGTGCGTCTTTGAAAGGCACCACTCAAGGCACAGGCCGGCCTTTTTGCTGGCTGGATGTGTTGGCACGGCCAGTCATGGCGTCCGGAGCTCTGGCTGAGGGGCTGGCCTCGCCCATGCTGCCTCAGGCAGGAACAGGGGGCGCTGCAGACCCAGGCAGGGGGAGGCCAGGCGAGAGTGCCCTGGGCTCGCTGGCCCAGAAAGACACCAGCCACTGTCTCTTCAAGGCCTGGTGGCTTTCTCCTCAGGGAATATCTCCATTTCCTAACTGGAGGGGAAGCTGGGGTCTGAGGAAGTGGTACTCAACGGCATCTTTCTGGGTGCCAGGCACTATTCAGTTCCTTTTAGTCCAGCATTCAGTGTGATTGTCCCGAATGCACTGAAGTTGGGACTCCAAAAGGTTAACCTCACACGGCTAGTAAGAAGTGAATCCAGGAGGTGGTCTCCAGCACTCTGATGCCGAGGCCCGGGCCCTTTCCTCTGCAGGCTGCCTCTCACAGGGCTGGCAGGTACCCCCCACTCCCAACCCAGTCCCTCCTCTCCCCAGGTGGCATGATGTCTATCTTCCTCATGGGCTGCTATGACCCGAGCAGCCAGAAGTGGTGCACGGTCACCAAGTGTGCAGGAGGCCACGACGATGCGACGCTCGCCCGCCTGCAGACGGAACTGGACATGGTGAAGATCAGCAAGGTGAGGGGGGCCCTGGGGCCCTGGCCTCTGGACCAGCCATCATTTCTGAGATGGGCAGTGTTGTGGGGGGTGGGGAGGAAGCTGTAGGTCTTGTTTGTCTCCACAGAAAAGAGAGCTGCTGCTTGCACAGGAGCTGTGTTAGGCCCTTAAATCCTCTGAGGACCTACCCTGTGGAATCTGGCCTGTGTGCCCTCCAGGCCACAGCCTCTCTGGGCAGGGAGGATGCCAGGGGTGAGGGGCAGCCTTTTGTGATAAGTCACCTCTTCTCACAAGCCTGCCACCAAGAGCACATTTAAGTCCTGTTATGGCAACAGCCCAGGACAGCATCCTTTCTCCTCTAGGATCCCAGCAAGATACCCAACTGGCTGAAAATCAATAAGATCTATTACCCTGACTTCATCGTTCCAGACCCAAAGGTATTATCCCATGGCCTGGGGTTCTCCAGCCCCCAAAGTGAGTTTGTACATTGTCTAGTGCCACAGAGACGTCATCTCAGCATCACTGACAGTCCACCCCGGGGTGGAGAACCAGGTGACAGGCACAGAGATGACCAGTCAACACTGAGGGGTCATCCTCACCAGAGAGGAAGAGCCTCTCCCTCCTCGAGTCACAGAGGGTCTGTTCGAACGTGGCCTGGCCCTGTCCTTTCTGCGCTGACAGAGAAACTGAGGCCTGGGGGAGAAGCGGGACTCCCGAGGCCACACGTCACCAGCCGCGGGGCTAGAACTTGTCTCGCTCCTGTTACCCACTGCTGTTTCGGTCCTAATTGTGCTCTGTTGCTTTTAGCTGGGCTTCCAGGTGAGGCTCAGTGGTAAAGAACCCGCCTGCCAAGCAGGAGACACAAGTTCAGTCCCTGGGTCAGGAAGATCCCCTGGAGGAGCATATGGCGACCCACTCCCGTATCCTTGTCAGGAGAATCCCACGGACAGAGGAGCCTGGCGGGCTACAGCCTGTGGGGTCACAAAGAGTCAGACACAACTTAGCAGCTAAACAGCAGCATCACCATTGCTTTTACCTGATTGGAAGGTGTTTTCTACTTACCCAGTGAATGACCTGACTTCTCCTGACAGAAAGCTGCTGTGTGGGAGATCACAGGGGCTGAATTCTCGAAATCTGAGGCTCACACAGCCGATGGGATCTCCATCCGATTCCCCCGCTGCACCCGAATCCGTGATGATAAGGACTGGAAGTCTGCCACGAACCTCCCCCAACTCAAGGTGCCGGCGCCTGGGCTACGCGCATGTCCTGTTCCCCCCTCCCAGCTCTGGCACCTAGGGCACCTGCCCTCCTGTGTTCTCCCCCTCCCCCTCCAGCGTGCTGAGAGGGGCCAGGAGGGCAGTTACTGGAAAGGGGGAGCGGCACGTCCCCCAGGAGAGCGCTCTGCCTGCATCAGGCACCCTGGGCAGCCCTGCACCCTGTCTCACAGCCCCCTGGGGAGGACTTCCCCCCAGGCTTCAGGCTCCACATTGCTGAGGAGGACTGAGGAACAGAGAACAGTGATCTGTGCAGATTTCTGCAGAAACAGGGCCAGAGCTAGAAAAGCCCTGAGGAAGCCAGCTGCCTTTGCCTGCTGTGTGTCCTCTCCTCATTTTCCTCAGCCCCGGGCACCTAAAACAGACCACACAGGTTGCCTGAGCCCTGAGGCTGGGAAAGGAGGGATAACCGATATCCTCCCCTCTCTCAGGAGCTGTACCAGCTGTCTAAGGAGCGGGCAGCCTTCGCCGTCACGGCCGGGGACGAGGGGAGCTCCGCCACAGGGGGCAGCAGTGGGGAGAACGAGGGCACCTCAGGGCCGGCTGTGCCTCATGCGGCCCCGAGAGCCTCCCCCAGGCAGCCTCCCACCAGCGCCAAGAAGGCTGGGGGCAAGGCGGGCGGCTGCACCAACAGAGGTGGTAAGGAGGGAGGGAGTGCCTGGGGCACCGAGGAGTGGGCGTGGGGACGGAGACGGGGGCGGGGGCCCGTCTCCCATCGCAGCCCTGAGGCCCTGAGACCCCGTCCACTGCAGCTGGCATTGCCTGCGTTCCTGCTGCGTGTGCCTCCGACGGCAGCCGCTGATCTGCAGGTTCCCCTCCTGCCCTGCACTCCTGACAGACAGGGCCCCCGAGAGCCACGGGAGCTGGGGTGAGCGCCTCTGCTCTCAGGGCTCAGCGGACAGCCCCTCCTGTCTCACCCGTGCTGAGAGCAGAGGGGCTGACTTCACCGCTTCTGCCCTCTTCTGGGTTCTCACCCTGAGCTCTCACCTGCAGGCAACCCGCCAGCTGCAAAGCCCTCCCCCGTGAGAGTGGGACTGAAGCGGAAGGCTCCCGACGCGACCCCATGCCAAGCCAAGGTGAGGGTGTGCGCCCCGCGTGCCCAGCCCTTTGCACTTGGCCTCTGAGCCTTGAGCAAGGTGTGGGCGGGCTGACTGCAGGCGGGCTGTCCCCCACCCCCCGCAGCTCCCCTGGCCTTGGGCAGAGCCACAGTCCGCTGGCTCCACCCTGTGCCCTCTTGTTGCCTTGCAGAGGCAGCCAGCCAGCAAGCAGAGAGGAAGGAGAGCTGTGCCCGCAGGCAGGAGATAGAACAGCGGGCCCAGCCGGCAGTCTGCAGGGACCCACCCAGCTGCCGGTCCCAAATCCCAGTTGACATTAAAGGGGAGAAAGCCCAGCCTGGGTGTGGGAGTGCAGCCGTGTGAGTTTGTGAACAGGGCCAGCCAGTGAGGAGCAGGAGAGGGCGCTGGTTCAGTGACCATCCTCCTCTCCTCTCATACTCCATGGTCAGTTTGGTGTGACAACCGCTACTGAGCGCTTACCAAGGCCAGTGACTCGGTTCTACCCTGGAGGCGCTGCTGGCTTAGAGGCAGATAGAGGTGTCGGCATCTGGTCAGGACAGGGAGGCTGTGCCACCCCGCCCCCAGCAGTCAGCATGGAGGTCACCATGGCACCCGGGGACCTTGCTGTCCTTCCCCTACTAAAGCCCTGGAATCCATCAGTCTCGAGCAGGGCTCCTGGCCCCTCGGCGCACACAGGGCTGCTCGTGGGTCGGGCAGCATCACTCCGAGCCCCACAGGCCCTGCCCACCAGTCCTTGGGTGGTTCCTGAGACTTGTGCTTCCCCTTTTCCAAGTGCCTTGTGGGGACCCGTCCCCTCACCCCCTTTCCTCTCAGCAAGGAGGGAAAGGCGTGTTGGTCATGTGTAACCTGGAGTGGCTGGAGGATGGGGGTTTTTGGTTTTTTGTCTTGACTTGGCTGCACCAGATCTTAGTTGTGGCACATGGGGTCCTTACTTGTAGTACGTGGGACCTATTTCCCTGACCAGGGATCAAACTTGGGCCCCTTGCACTGGGAGCCAAGTCTTAGCCACCGGACCACCCAGGGAAGTCCCAGGATGGGGGTCTTGGGCCGTTACCTTTTCTCCTGTAAACCCTTTCCCCATGTCCTGACCACTAGTCTCCATCTCTCAGCTCCTTCCCGAGCCAGGTCAGAGCCACCTGCCCCAGCCCCGCTCGGCCCTGACTGCTGTGCGTTTGCAGGTGCTGCTGGACATATTCACTGGAGTGCGGCTCTACCTGCCACCCTCCACGCCAGACTTCAGCCGCCTCAGACGCTACTTTGTGGCATTCGATGGGGACCTGGTGCAGGAATTTGACGTGGGCTCAGCCACACACGTGCTGGGTGGCAGGGACAGGAATCCTGAGGCCCAGCAGGTCTCTCCAGAGTGGATTTGGGCGTGTATCCGGAAACGGAGGCTGGTGGCTCCTTGCTAGGACTGCCGCCTGCCCCTCCCTCGGGTGTACTCCCCACCGCACTGCTTCTGGACTGGGCGCCGGGCGGGCGGGCGCCAGAGGAACCCAGGGTGGGAGCCACTCTCTCCTCCAAGCTATGCATCTTCCAGAGCCCACCAGCCACGCGTGCTGTCTTCCAGACTGGAGTGAGTTGCTGTGTACCACCAGTGAAGTCAGGTTCTCCTGCCAGTTTACATAGGTCTTTCAGATCTGGGTGCTGGTTTTGACCTTTTTTTTTTTTTCTTTTCTTTGAAAAGAAGTTTTTAAAAAAAGAAAAATGGAACCCCCTCGGAGTTACCTTTGTCCTTCCCCAAACACCTCCTGTAATTGTGGTGATTAAGGAATGGAGGGGAGGCTGGCTGTTGAAGTTCCCCTTCTACTTCCAGGCTCCTTTTAAAGTTGTATTTAAAAGAGTATCCTCAGAAATGCTTATAGTGGGCAAAACTTGTATTCAGCCTGGCCATTTTTGCCAGGAATGAAATTGCATCAGAAAGAAAACAAAATGGATTTTTATGTCTCGCTTCTCCCTGCTCTCCTGTTAAACAGTGTGTGGGTCCTGGTTTGAAGGGAGGGGAGCAGGACCAGGAAGGATGGACAGGGCGGTGGTGTGGGCTCCGGGGCTGCGGGCTCAGGAGGAGCTGCCCTACCCCATCTGCAGACAGGACCGCTCTTCAGAAACCCACCTGAGGACAGATGCGGCCTGCTTATAGAGAACGCCTCCTGTGCCACTTGAGGTGGATTTGCGTGAATAAAGGGAAAACAGCATAGACGAGTCCGGTTCAGGAGAACTCTCTACGGCACCAGCAGCAGCATCCTGGCGACCTCCACTGGCCGAGGGGAAGCAACCACACTCAGCTGCTGAGCATGTGGGACATGCTGGTGACATACCCGAGAGCTGGACTTACCATCTTCAGCTTCAAGTAGTCACGTGAGGTGAACCGAGGTGAACCGACGCTCACAGTGGACACGCAGGTACAGACAGCTGGTTCGAAGCAAGCCCTGAAAACTGAACAGCTGTCACCCAGAGGCACACGGACCGGAAGTGCACCTGAATCGGACCGGAAGTGCACCTGAATCGTAAGGTTGCTGAAAAGAGGAAGTGGACTGAAGGTGCGGCTGCGCACATGGTGATCCAGAGTTGGGGAAATCAGCCCAGGTGTGTGTCCTGACCCTGCTTGGGAGGGTGGGCCCTGGCCTCTGCCTTCAGGGCCTGCGAGACACTACCACAGCCTGTGCGTTACTGTGTGCACTCTGGTCTGAGTGCAGGCTCCTCATGTCAGCCTCTGGTTCTGAACTGGCTTCCATCTAGTTCCGAGGGTCCATCCTGTTTTTCTGTATCAACAAGTCGGCAGGCTGCTTGTCCGACCCCTGGAAGTGAGGTGACTGGAGCATACCTGAGTAAGAGGATAAGCAGGGGCCACTGCCTACCCCCTGCCTTCCAGGGTAATCAGCTAAGGTCACTTCAGCCTGCCTGACCTGGGTTTCCACCTGCTGCTTGCAGTGTGTTAGGAGGAAGGGGCAGGGGGAGGTGCCCTGACGCTAGGCCAGGACATTTGGGGGTTCTGAATAGGCACCATTCAGTCTGGCTTCACTGTTGAAAATAAGACACTTTTTATTCTATCCTCCGTGGAGACAAAAGCTGCTGCTCCTCTGAGCACTGACCTGCATAAATTTTCACCCCCTCTCCAGCCTCCTCAGGCCAAGCAGCTGGACAGAGCTCTCCCCTCAGGATTTTGCATTTGCTTGGCTGGTCTCCAGAGTGCACCCGTGCAACAGAGGGGGTCATTTCAGTCATGAGCTCAGCCCCTCCCCACCTCGCTGGGTATGTTACCTTCAGCTCACCATTCAGGGTGTCGGTTTCCTTCCAGTCTTTCTGATCCATGTTTCTCTTTGCGGCTGAGATTATATACAATTTTGTATTTCACAGACCATAAGCAACATCATCTTAAACCTCCCCAGCAGGGTGCTGGAGGCCTGCCCTCCTTTGAGCCTTTGTTTACTTGCTGGTTGGCAGCAGGCAAGAGGTCACCCTGAGTGCTGAACGGGTCAGCCACCCAGAACAATGACAAAGTGCTGTGGCTCAGCCTTGAGCTTCTACGCCCTTTTGGCAAGATCCCTTCCTTCTGCAGTCACAGGGCAGATCTGCACTCAATCCAGCTCTCCCAAAGGTTGTACTCTCAGGAGTTCCCTCCCCTGCTCACTGGTCAGACAGGCATACCCACCTGCACGGAGACACAGGGCACGCTGCCCTCGAGGCGGGGCCAGCCTCTGAGCCGCAGTCCAGCCATCTCCCAGGGTCGCCTGAAGACACCTGGGCACCCTGGCTGCCCTCAGACTCCTTTCCACCCACATCTTGAAAGTCTGCTCCTACCAGATCAGGGTCCATATCTGAATTCACTTGATGCTGCTCTCTGGGCTTGGTCCTTTTTCCCGCCCAGTGCCCATCCTCTTCTGGGCTTTCCCATGCCCAAGGCCACATGACCCAAGCATCTCCAAAAATAGCACAGTCTTGCAAGAGCAGGCCTGTGTGCATACAGCCTGGGATTAGCCTGTGGCTTGTGAACTCAGGTCAGTCTTAACTATGACACCTGGCGTCCTCACACCAGATTGGGACAGGCATCTATGTTGAAACTTTATTACAAAATTATAAAGCAGAGCTCTGTAACAAAAAATACACATTTGGGTTTGGTCTAACACCCAAGTAAGTCTGAGAAAATCTTAATATAAGCCACTTGAAATAACACATTCACGTCCAAAAGATTTCAACAAATTTGTACAATATACATTGAGCACTAATTCCTGTACAGCTTATTCTTTCTCGTTTGGATCCAGCTATTCCAATGTATTATGAGCCAGTCAGCTGTCCTGTCTTTTAAAACAAGTCACAACTGAAATCTCAGAACAATCAGCGAAAGCCATGGGATAATGGAAGAATTAGATGTTTCCATGGTAATTAAGACCAAGGATCCATGAGGGGCAGAAGAGAGTATCCAAGGATAAAAATCAAGTTTGCTACTTAAGTTAGATAGTAACTGAAATGGGATCTTAAGAATTCCCAGCCTTTATTTGGTGTAGTAATAAAGAAGATATACAAAGCGGGCGGGGGGGGGGGGGGGCGCACTTAGGGTTAGGTTGTTTTAACACCTTTTCTCCTAAATGGAAACCTTCACCAAAAGGGATTAGAAGACTTAAAGGCAAGTTCTTTCTCCAAGATGAGTCAATGACATCAGTTCTGACTCTTACTGAGGTTACAAACCAACCATCAAGATATTGTTAACTCACGTCTAATAGGGAAACTGGGAGGTAGGGAGTGGTAAGGCCTCAGCAGAGAAAGGAAGTTTTAAGCAGGGAAACAGCCAGCTTCCGCCCTGAAGTTATTGCTAGGTTGTAGCTGAGCTGCTATGTGCAGACCTGTTTCACAGTGGAACTAAGGAGTAGCTGAATTCTTTGTTAAACTGGTAGGCACCGTAAACTATAGTATTTACTGTCCAGCAGAAAGATGGTGTCTTTACAGGGAAATCTCCGTTCCCCCCAGTTCCTACAAAGGCTGTAGCCCAAAATCAAACTATCTAGGACTTGGTATAATGTCAAGGTCAGTGGTTTAGTGCTTGATGGAGAGAAAGCATTAAGTATATCCTGTACCAACCAACAGGTGCCCTTACAGGTTTCCCACTGCTTTCCAAAGTCGTGATTGGTTCTTCTGGTCTGAGAGATCTCAGCTGCACGGGGTGGGAATAGGGGTGACTGCCAAAGCCCTCGGCTGTCTGAGGGTTTGCATAGCTCATCCAACGGTAATGGCGGCGCACGCAGCTCTTCTGATAGTGCACAGAATGTATGTTTGGGCTTGGCTAAGCTTCTCCAACAAACTTGAGCTCTTGCAGTGGTGAAGAGACCCTGAGAGGGCTCAAGAACAACACTCACTCATTGCACGGCCCTTCCTAAAGAGCCAAGGGAATGCTGCTTCTTGACCTGCCCCTAAATCAGCAGGGTGAGAAAGGAAATGGGATTCGGGAGTCCCTCCCAACCTGGAGAACAGACATGGGCAGCTGTCTGCTCAAGGGTTGATACCTCTGAGTGCTCAGTCTTACATGCTTGTCTGACTGGAGTAGAATAGGCCCTTTGCCTAAGTCTCTTCAGTGAGACCTTCAAGTGAGACCATGTTTAAAACCTCCATGGGCAAGAGGGACCTCGTACTCAGGGGAAAATGGTTTAAGGCTGTCTGCTGGAGAAGTCAAAGCCAAGCAGAGAGCCACTGCTTCCACCCAACGCTTTCCCTTTTCCTCATCAACTAAAACAGGATGGCACAAAGTCAGACCCCAGGAGAAGCAGCAGAGGTGACCCACGTACTGTCTTTCACAGACTGGAATCTCCCACCAGTCTGAAAGCCAGATGCTTTGCTGACTCCCAAGGTCAGCTCAGGAGAGGGAGAGCTTCCCAACCCAGCACTTCAGGAAGCAACTCTTAATGACTTAAAGTTTTCCAATCGCATTTGCGTTTCATTTCTCACCAGAAGTAAGTTTACTGGTCCAAATTTCTGTCCCTAGGAGGATCACTGTTGGCCTGGTAAGCTACCATCTTTTTGGTCTAAAGAAACAAATGGATTTTAGGTTAAGGTATCAAGAGACTTTAGCAAAGGTCGGTTAAAGCACAGAGAGCCAGAGAGACCAGAAATGAATCCAGGTGTGCCGGGGAGGAAGAGAGCCGTCCCCACCAGGACTCCTGGTGGGTGAAACAGAGGCACGCCGCTCGGGGGGGTGGGCGGGCTACAGGAGGAAGGGTGAGACTGTTTAGGTTCGCAGAGGAAGGGAGGAAGATGTGGTCGAAATTCTGGAAAGTCCTCTCCATCAGTTACCATCGTCACCCCAAGATCACTGAAACAGGGACTGGCCTGTGCGATCTGTACCAGTTTCCACTGGCCTGGGGCTCGGCCAGCTGCACGGTGTACCTCTGAAGCAAGACAGGCATGCCCAAGAGGTGACACAGCATCTTTGCTCGCCCTGGTCTTGGGAACACTGCACATTTTCTGGTTAGCTTGCCCGTCTGCAAGCCGGCCCACCGTGGGCCCAGACACCTGGAGCTCTGTCCCCTAAGGCACTGCAGAAGCCCACGCGAGCCCTCAGGACCGGAAGACGTGCACGGCTCGGATCACGTACTGCCGGCAGATGGGGCACTCGTTCATGCGCTTGCCGCACTTGGTACAGGTGACCATGTGGCCGCACTCCAGCAGAACACAGTCGATGGGCGAGTCCATGCAGATCCGACACAGGTTCTCCTCCAGGCTGCACGGCACTGCTCCCCCTGGACATGGCAGAGGGACAGTAAGGAGACTAAGTGTGTGGGCCGGGGGCACAGCCCCCCAGATCCACACACCCCCCTCAGGGACAAGGAACCGTCTCCCCAGGAACTCGCTCCACCTGCTTGTTTAATCTGCACCTCCATAGGTTAGGCTATAGATATGAAGAGTCAAGTACTTATAGATCAAAGACATCCCAGAACGTGAGAATAAGGCAAAGGCCTCAAAGCTTAAAAAGAAGTAACGTTCAGACAACTGAGGCTGCAATAAAGCCAGGGAGTGCCATGGAGGGACTCGATATTCCCTGAGGCAGAACATGCTGAAAAGATATAAAGCTGGCTGAGAAGAGTTTAGGCATCAACAGAGTTGTAATGAACAGCTCATGAAGGATCATGAGACTCTGTAAACATACCCCTAACTGAATAAAGCAAGCCACGGCCTGCTTCCTCAGGCTTCCTTGGAGGAGACTCCATGGTGCCAGAGCCCAGCAGAGACTATAGCTCCCTCTTCTCTGCTTCCCACACACACTTCACCCACACCCCGTGACTGCTCCTCAGCACCTTCAGAATTGTGAGTTTGCCTCCTTGTCTCCCCACTAGATACGGGCCCCTAAATCCAACAAATGGAATCAATTTCTACTGAGGTAATAATATACTTAGCATCTGCTGTGTGCTCTGAGGCTTGACAGTCATTTTGAATCCCTGAAACCAGTCCCGAGGTGAAAGTGAACATGTTAGTCTGACTCTTTGTGACCCCATGGACTACAGTCCGACAGGTTTCTCTGTCAATGGAATTCTCCAGGCAAGAATACTAGAGCAGGTTGTCACTTCCGCCTCCAGGGGACCTTCCTGACCCAGGGATTGAACCCGTGTCTCCTGCACTGGCAGGCAGATTCTTCACTACTGAGCCCCAACAAAAACTATGAAGTAGGTACTCTCGTTACTCATTTGATAGGTGAGGCAAGTGAGACCAAAGGGTTAAATAGCTTGCCCAAAGATTGAAATCCAGGTAGGCTGGCTTCTAGGGAAGTGGCCTGAGGGCAGGGACTGCAAAGACAGTACTAACTGCTCAGCACAGTTCTCAACAAGGCTAACCGGCTGGTGCGACTGGGAAGACACTAGGCATGACCTATATCCTAGGTCAGCTGCAGGAACGGAAGAACCTTCGGGTCCCCAAACCCAAGCCTTCCCAGCACGTTTTAAATGGCAGCATGAATCAGGCGGCCATAAATAGGGAACTGCTCGTATACGGTCCCACCTCTACGGTCCCACAGGGGACTCTCATACTCCACTGCTTCTGCACTTTACCTGTTCCTTGGACTATTCAGAAAGTCAAATCACTTGAGGTGGGTGGGCTGTGAGGCAGTGAAACCTATTTACTCCTGTGAGGAGCTGATGGCCCTAACAGGGAACATTTGGAAACTGAACAATATAAACACCTATATATATAAGTAGGAATACCTATAGATATAATAGATAGTATGGGCTATATAAATAGCTCATCCATAAATATATAGATGAGCTGGAGTAATTTACAGAATTTCATTACAGATTACTTCTGTCAAGATTAACAAATTCATTAACTCAGTTGCCAGCATTCTCCCAGGGAGTCAGAAAGACCCCAAGTGGATGGCCAAACTTTGGTGTCAGGTGAGGGTCTAGAACTCCAAATGCTCAACTCTGGAATGTATCAGCCAGAGCAATATGGTGAGAGCTCTTCCCTAAGAAAGGATTTTCTCAGAGTAGTGTAGGGGCCTGAAAAGCACTTTAAAACTTTTTCAGAAGACACTCCAAATTTTCCCTTAGTAAAACGGCTGTATAGCCTTGAGGCTTTCACAAAAAGGTCTATCATGCTTCAGCGTGATTGCATCTGCAGTCAGATTCCTGCAGTGCATTCTGGGGGTGCCAAGAGACCTGTGGGTGGTCTTTAACACACAGGTTGGTACATGGCAGCTGAGTGCCACGAAGTATGCTATACACACAAGGCTCTCAGCTCGCCACCCCTGCTTTTCACTTGGTACCAGAAGTTGATGAACATCCCAAGTGATTTCCCTGAAGGTACACACAGAGACCCTCCCACACAGACCAAGACGGAGTGAACGCCTGACTCGGAACAGGAACAGCTACGTACCGTTTTGGTCTTCAGCACTGCACACTGCAAAGGGAAGGAAAGAAGGCGTCTGAATACATGATGACAAGGAAAGCCTCCAGCCACCCTGGCTTCACTTCTGAACTCTGACCGCTCTCCTGCTGGGAACCAGGCCACCCCCCTCAGACCCTCCACAGATGGGAGACTCACCCACCGCCCCTGCCGGGGTGTCTGGTCTAGTCTTAGAAAAAGGGCTTCCACTGCTTTACTATGAACAAAACTGCCAGGCAGAAAGGAGACTGCACAAGCACAGTGTCCTTTTCTTCTATCGCATCGGAAGCCAGCGTTAAAGTCAAGAAAGGAGGAACAGTCTGTCCTGGTTGGCCAGGGAGTCTGGGTGTGACTCCCCAGAGGCGCCATCTCCTAGTCCCAGGCCCTCGTCCCTCCTTTGGGGAGGTTCTGGGGACCATCACCTGTGATCAGGTGATCAGGCAGATGTCCCCTAACTCTGATGAATCTGAGCTCCTGGGAGAGGAGAACCCGAATCTGACTCCAACTACTGTGAGCAGGCAAGTCAGCGCAACATTGACCTGCAGGAGCCCAATCAGCTGGGGAGCGAATGGGTGAAGTCATTTCAGGAAATGCGGAGTTCCAAACAGCTAGACCCATTTCTCTCCTGCAGGGCTTCTCTGCCTTGATTGGTACAGTCTTCATCTTACCACAAATCGGCAGCATGGACATAACAGCAAGTTTTTTCTTCCCCAAACTCATTTGACCACAGACCTTGTTTTACTGTGCATCACTGTAAATGATACCATGGAAAATGCTTTGGAAAATGAACAGCCCCAGGCAGACAGGTCACACACAGCATGCCAGCACCTGTGTACAGAGCTTGAGTATGGCCAGATAGTGGTGAGTCTGATGGGGCGACATAAGGCGGGAAAGGCCATGGACTTAGACCCAGAAATCCTCAGGGCCAATCTAGGCTCTCCAGTAAAGGGAAGATGCTAACAATGCCTATTTCACAGGCTGCCCTGAGGATTAAATACATATACATGATGCCTGACCCCCACCCGGGGAACTCAGCTCCAAAGGACTGTTATTATTAGAGGATGCAAATGCGTAAGGTGGCTGGCTCCTTCCTCAGCTAAAAGCACGGAAATCGAGTCAGGTCAATGTAGACTCTAAAGCGAGACAGCAGGCGCTCTGGAGCTCTGCGCCGCTGCCGCCCACATGGCCCCTCACCCAGGTGCTGGAGTCCCTTCTGGTCCTTGTACAGCCGTGTCACCCTCTCCATCAGTTCCCACTTCTCACAGCAGCCCTTGTAGTTGACGAAGTTGCGAGCCAGGATCTCCTTGAGCTGTCGCACAGTGAGACCTTCGATGTCCTCCAAGTCGGTCAGGTCAGACAGCGAAGCCCTCCGGCCTGGGACAAAGCTGTCCTCTGAGTCGACGGACTGCGAAGGCAAAGATGGGATGGGTGGGCTCCCTGGCCCCGCCCTCACTCCCAGGACCCCAGAGCTCTCATCACCCTGTGCTTTTGGTGACTGGCCTCAAGGCAAGCAGGAACAGGGGCACGTGGAGGATTATGTGGCCCCAGGCTCTGCATCGCCAGACAGACCTCCGTCTCTTCCTGCCCCGAGGGCTGTGCTCAGGCCCAGCTGACCACAGACCCACCCCCAGGCCAGGCAGGAGGAGCAGCAGCAGGCTGAGGCAGGTGGTTTTGGATCCCTATTCCTCCTCTGACTGATGCTGAGCAGTACCGAGCATGATGCTCACCCCTCTGAACCCGTCTGCCCCCCGTAAAGAGGTGGCAGCAGTCCCGCCACCCGGGCTCCCTGTGGAGATTGAACAAGGCAGCACAAGAGACTGCTGCGCGCGGCTTGGGTCTTTCTCCCCTGGAGAGTTCTGCTTTCCCACGGAAGAAGCCCGCTTCCCGGGCAAGCATCCCCTCTGCACACCGGAGACCACAGCTCTGCGGCCCCACGGCAGTGCCCTGAACGCCCTCTCATCTTTCCTCCCGATTATCTGACCTCCTTCCCCTGACAATGGCCACCGTGTGCTAGAAGCAGAGGAAAAGAACAAGACCGGCACAGCGGCACCAGAAGCCTGCCCTCCGGCTGCTCTCAGCAAGTCAAGAGACTGGAAACCAATGGGCTGTGCCGCTCCCCAGTCTCTGGTGTGACACGGACCGCTCCTGAGGTTCGCCTGGAACGCTCACTGAACGCCACCCCTGAAGACAGGACTTCAGAAGGACTGTCATCACAGCCTGCTCCTCCCCTCTCCCCCGTGAGGCCGCCCAGAGGGTCCTGGCGAGAACAGCAGCTAGAGCCAAGGCGGAGGCACAGGCACCGCAGGGCCCACCTGGGTCTCGTCCTCAGCAGGAGCTCCGGCCGTGCGCTCCAGGTAGACGGGCTCCTCTTGGTCCTGAGACACATGGCCATTGGCCTGTGGCGAGAGAAAGATGCCGTCACATCCGCAGAGCTGTCCCAGGGATGGCATGGGGCTCTTGCCAGCTCACGCCATATCCAAACACACTCCCATTTCCCCGGGAACCTGGAGTCTCACTTAACAGCATTTTAGAAGCCTGACTCTGTCAGGCAGGGAAGCAATACGCATAGATTTCAACTCTAGAACAGGATGGCATTAATTCTGCCTACTGCCAGGATGGCATTATCTGCCACTCACCATCAGTGTCGGCTCAGCTTGCACACTCCGAGTGGAAGGAAGATCACACGGCCCTCCTCTGCCGGGCGGCTGTCAAGTCCGTTCCTGACACTGACGCCAAAACGCCAAGTCTACAACTTCTGCCCGCCATCCCTGGTTCTGCCCCCAGACCAGTGTCAACTCTCTTCTCCCCAACTGTTCAAACTATGTCTTCGCTTCTGCCACATGAAATCTCCCCAGCTTCTTCATCTGGCCCAGATGAGATAAAAGTTTCCAGACCCTCACCCCCCCGGCCCCACCCCCTGCTTCTGGCTAGTCACTGCTCTCATTAGAAATTCTAGAACTATGCTCAAAGCAGCAGGGCAGACTGTTACTAAGAGCTATCTTGAAACCCAGTCAAAACTTATTTTAAGGCATCAAAGAGTCGATTAACCTGAGACTATATAAGACTAATGCCTATGCTTAAGAAGTTTCATTCGGCTCAGAAGTCTAAACTCTCAAAAGGTTTCCCCTGGGTATTCCTTCAGGTTTTGCCACAGAGTAGTTAGTCAGAACTGGGACCCACCTAATCCCGTCACCATTTAAGCCACAAATCCCTCACCTAGATCCTCTCCACCCACAGCCCCCAAACAGGCGAAGGGTCTGGTGTGAGCCCAGAGCAAAGAGGTGTCTGAGCTCACAGGCCTTTTCCACTGGACTCTTCAGAGGACCAGCAAAGGGACAACCTGGGAAACAGTCACTCACTGCCCCCGCTGCTCACCTCAGGTCAGAATGCATAATATGGAGCTAATTAAGAAAAGGCACGCAATCACAACAGAAATGAAGAGCAGAAGTAACAACTGTCACCAAAAATGCCAAGTGACAATAAGCTCCTGTACACAGCACACGTGGACAGAGAGGCTTCCCAAACAACGCCCAGTTTTCTCTTAGCTTTACGTCAGCGTGGCACCCACTGGCCTCCTGGTGTCACCTTGCGTTCCAAGAAGCTATTCGGAGCCTAACCTCTTCCTGAGTAGCCAGTTTCTGTACGTCTTCTCTTTTCCACAAGAAAAACGGGTCTTGTGCTGCAGAGTACGCGCCGGCCTTTCCAGTGTGCCCACGGGCTGAACCCAAGTCTCCAGTGAGTGTCTGCCCGCAGCTAGCTCTGGTCCATGCGCTTCCTTCACTAGCAGCTACTGCCGGGGCATCACAGGTGCAGGAAAGGGCCCCGGTGGGCGAGCGCTGCCAGCAGACGCACAGCCTGTGTGCTGCTAGCTGCAGGCCGTCAGGCCGCCCTGCACGAGCTACTGCGCTTGCCCTGTTTTTCTGGCTGGCAAAATGCAGGCCTCACCAGAACAGGGGACGTGAGCTGACCTGAAGGCCTTCTGGAAACATCAGAGAAGCACCCAATGAAGCTCTGGCACATGGTGTGACCTATGCGTGCAGTCTGCAAACTTCTGATTAATGAAAGGAACCCACCTGAAGGTTCTTTCAGGGAAAAAAAATTCCCTCGAGGCACTCTACTGGCTCCCCATAAACAGAGAGAAAACCCTGGACCCAAGCAAAGGGAGGCAGTCAGGACAGGTGGCCCTGCCTGTCCAGCAGGCAGAGCAGAGCCGAGGGGCAGTGGCGTCCCAGGGCACGCAGGGGGAAAGCCCGCTCAGGCTCTGTGCGCTTCCTGCAGGGGAGCATGCGGTCACAGCGGCCTTCATGGCCCAGTGCTCGTCAGGGCTGAGTCAGGGGCCCCGTCCCAGCAGAGGTGGGGGTCAGAAACGAGAGACGGCAGCCCCACACATCCTGTGTGGAGGACGACAACACTGGCGCATGCCTGCTCTGGGCAGCTCAAAGCCCTTCAGACGTGGGATCATGCCGCCAGTCAGTCCTCCCCATATCCTGGCAGGAGCCAAAGTGGTCTGGATTACTAACCTCATTGCCTTGTTAAAGGCTCAGACCTCCTCGAAGTGACCCAAGAGTCAGTGACCAACAGGATGTGGAAACTGGATCTCCTAGGTCCGAATCCTCCCACTGTTGCCCAAGTCAGATGACTAAAAGGCTCACTGAGACACTGAAGGATAGCTACAGGACGTCACCACGCCCCGATGACAGTGATCCTGGCACTTCGGAGGTGGTTAATACATGCTCACTGAATAAACAAATGCATGGGAAAATAGCTCCTAGAGACCCAGCACCTGGAAGCCAGAGGCTGCCTCTTCACCCAACCCTCCCCTCTCCCCACCATGAGCACCTAGTCTGCAGAGCTGGCCCTCTGCTCACGTCCTGGGAGCCCACTTCCTGTTGGTCCTAACCTTACAGGGTCCCCCGGGGCTACACACACAGCTTCCGGCTACTTCCCATCCTCTGTCCAGTGCCTCTGCCACTGGAAGCGGGGGACCACTTCCCCCGTGCCCACCCCAGACCTCTGGCTGAAGCCTCCTGCCTTCCCGGCACTGGGTCCTCCCCCGCTCCCCACCCCACCGAGTGTGTGGGTGTTTGCTTCCTATTCTATAACTTGACACCAGTCTTGCTGTCTGACACCCTATCCTTTCCTCTTTCACCCGCCTCAAACCTCTCCTCAGTGATAACCACCATTCAGAGCATTGTTTTGTTTAGTCACTAAGTCATGTCTGACTCTTTGCAACCCTATGGACTGTAGCCCACCAGGCTCCTCTATCCATGGAATTCTCCAGGAAAGAATGCTGGGGTGGGGTGCCACTTCTTTCTCCAGGGGATCTTCCTGACGCAGGGGTAGAACCCAAGCCCCCTGTGTCAGTGGTGGACTATTTACCGCTGAGCCACCTGTGAAGCCAGAGGTCCACCGGCATCACTCTAATCCCACAGTTGGCTTCCACACCCACCTTCCCCCTCAGAGGGGCTTCTCAGCTAGAAGCAACATAATCCTCGCTTCTGAGCTTTCCAAGCCTGGTTCATAATTCAGTCCAGGTGCTGCTCTGAGCCCGCCACCCCCAGACCCTGCTGGGATGCTGACAAGGCCGCCTACGGTTCAGTAGCCCTCCAACCACAACCCAGCCCGGACAGCGCTGGCAGGGGCCGTGCCCGGGTCTCAGTCACAGCGTTTCCCTCCTCTGCCTTGCCTCCACATACTCTTTTTTTTGGCCTCACCACATGGCACGCAGAATTTCCCCAACCAGGCATCAAACCTGTGCCCCCCACATTGGAAGCTCACAGTCATAACCCCTGGACCACCAGGGAAGTCCTACGTGGTCCTTTTTCTCCCTTGCGCCTTGTGATGATCACTGAGGAACCGAATTCCCCATTAGCCAAGGAAGACCATGGGGTGAGAAAACAGGAGGGTAATCTGATCAGAACCAAATGTGGAGACCTAACAGTGAATTTTCTCAAAATGTTTCTAGAACAACCAATTTTTTTAAACTCTCTAAATGGAATAGGAACCTATTACAAAGAAAGAGAAAAACACAAAAACCCAGTACCATGCATCTGTCTAAGAAAAGCCCAAACGTGAGTCTGCAGTCCAGAAAATACCCTCCGTCCGCGGTAGGCACAAAGGCGTCCCGTGACCCGTGCACTGAACCCCTCTCCTGAGGTGCTGGGGGAGAGGGACCCCAGCCCACCCTGGAGAGACGGGAGGCCGCGCGTGGCCGTACCTGCTGCCGGCCCTGCGCCTGGCCGGGGGGTGCAGACGGGAGGCCGGGTGA